GCTCAGAGCCTGGAGCCTGCTTCAGGTTGCGTGTCTCCCTCTCTCTCTGCCCCTCCCCTGCTCATACTCTATCTCTCTGTCTCTCTCTCAAAAATAAATAAAACACTAAAATAACTTTTAAAAAATAAACAAAGCAAAATAAAACAAAATAAAATAAAATAAGATGTAAGGGTTAAAAAGAGTTTTATGCACTTTTCAAAACATAACACTTCACAAAAAAAAAAAATTTAAGCAAAACCAAAACAAACCAAAACAAACCAAAACCTTAGGTAGAATTAACTACTGAAACTTGAACTTCAATACTTGCCCCCAAATCCTCCCTCCCAGAGGTTTACCAGTCGGGCACCCAAAGAAATCACAGGACTCACAAATCAACCGAAGAGATGTCTGGAATGATCTGAGTAAGTCAAAGGGAGATAGATGAAACAAGAATGGCCATGGTTTTGTTTGTTTGTTTTAATAGTTTTTATTTATTTTTTAGACAGAGATAGAGCATGAGCAGGGGAGGGGCAGAGAGAGATGGAGACACAGAATCTGAAGCAGGCTCCAGGCTCTGAGCTGCCAGCACAGAGCTTGATGTGGGGCTTGAACCCACAAACCGTGAGATCATGACCTGAGCCAAAGTTGGACACTTAACCAACTGAGCCACCCAGGCGCCCCAAGAATGGCCAGATGTTAACAACTATTAACCCTGGGCAATTGAAGGGCACCTGGCTGGCTCAGTTGGTAGAGCGTGTGACTCTAGATCTTGGAGTTGTGAGTTCAAGCCCCACATTGGGTGTAAAGCTTACTTAAAAAAATAATAATCAACAGGGGTGCCTGAGTAGCTCCGTCGGTTAAGGGTCTGACTTCCGCTCATTTCATGATCTTGCAATTCGTGAGTTCCAGGCCCACACTGGAATCCTCACAGGTAGTGCAGAGCCTGCTTGGGTTTCTTTCTCTCTCTCTCCGTCTCTCTCTCTCTCTCTCTCTCTCTGCCCCTCCTCCACTTAAGCACTCCTGCACTCTTGCTCTCTCTCTCTCTCTCTCAGGTAAATAAGCACACTTAAAAAAAATAATAAACAAAAGAAAGTGTTTTCAAATAACTGGCCAATAGGTACAACAGAAAGGCTCATCCCAGCTCTCGTTCATGAGGTAAAATTGTAAAATACAGCATATCTTAAATGATAAAACCTTTGTCAAATCACAAGGCCAGTCTGAAGAGGTGCACAATTTTATGGGTTTCCACAAATTTTCCATCCCACTTCTTAGGTCTCTGCTTCTCTGGTTGGCAAGTTCTGGAATGCCCCCTGCCTTGTGTCACTAAGCCTTCAAGCAAGCTCTCTCCCTTCACTAGACCCGCCACCACACAGGAAAACTGCCCGGTCAGACTCTGGCTCACAGGCTCCAATGAAAGGAAGCCCTCCCAGCAGCTGGCACTCTCGCTTTGCCCTCCACCCTGCACCAGGCCCCTCCTCCCCTCACCCCAGCCTCATCAGATGAACGGCACTGCCCGCTTGCTTATCTTACTAGGCCAGGAATGGCTCCTGAACGGGGATCATTTTTTAACTTCCAAAAGAAAAAAAGCACTGAACCGAATGAGTCACAGACCACTGCTTCGGAATCATTTGAAGCATCACAAAAAACACAGGCCGCTACTCTCAGAAACTCTGGAAGTAATCCTGGGCATCAGCATTTTAAAGCCAGTAATGAGGGGCGCCTGGGTGGCTCAGTGGGTTAGCCTTCACACTCTTTTTTTTTTTTAATGTTTTATTTATTTTTGAGAGAGAGATAGAGACAGTGTGAGCAGGGGAAGAGCAGAGAGAGAGGGAGACACAAAATCCTAAGACAGCCTCCAGGCTCCAAGCTGGCTGCCATCACAGAGCCCGACGTGGGGCCCACAAACCGTGAGATCATGACCTGAGCCAAAGTCGGACACTTACCTGACTAAGCCACCCAGGCCCCCCCCCCTTTTTTTAAGCCTTCCCCCTCTTGATTTCTGCTCCAGTCGTGATCTCACAGTTTGCGAGACTGAGCCCCACGTCAGGCTCTGCACTAACAGCACAGAGCTTTCGTGAGATTCTCTCTTCCTCTCCCCCTCCCCTCTGTTCACTTATGCGCTCTCACTCTCTCTCTCACCAAAATAAATAAACTTAAAAAATAAATAAACAAATAAAAACACCTTTCCAACACCTTTCAAAATCAGACCACCTCAAGTGGAATCCTATAGTGGGGATAGTTGCACAACCTTGTGAATCTATTTTTCAAAACCACTCTGGGGCGCCTCACTGGCTCAGCTGGTAGAGCATGCAACTCTTGATCTCAGGGCTGTGAGTTCAAGCTCCACATTGGGCATAAAGCTTACTGTTAAAAAAAAAAAACTTCAAAACTGTGATTTTTATTTATTTATTTATTTTTAGTGTTTATTTTTGAGAGAGTGCAAGCAGAGGAGGGGCAGACAGAGGGGGACAGAGGATCTGAAGCAGGCTCTGTGCTGACAAGCTGACCAGCAGCAAGCCCAATGCAGGGCTCCAACTCATGAACCATGAGATCATGACCTGAGCTGAAGTCAACCAACTGAGCCACCCGGATACTCCCTAAAACTGCTAACTCTATGGTATGTGAACTATACATCAATAAAAAGTCAACAGACCATCCCAGAAGGGACCCTGATCTCCATACCTAGGGTAGAACAAGACGACCCTCTCTTCTCTCAACTCAAGGGTCGCCCATAAAGCAACCAGAGGCCTCACTGGCCAGCTCACTTCAAGGAACAAAGGGGCCTTTGTGCCAGCCCCCCGGCCCAGCAAGTAAACACAACTACCTGAATCTGCTAACACAGCCAGCTACCCCACAACTCTTCCTTTCAGAGCTGCAGCTTTCTGGCCCTTCAATCCTACCACCGGTCTGCAGGTCTGTCCCCCACCCTCTTCCTCAGTCAAGGGGCCACTTCTAAGCATAATTCGCTTCAAAGGAAAAGGTGCTGTCAGCAACACCCAGCTCCATCCATTTCACAAGAAACACTTGAACCTCTGACTCCAGTTCCCCAGAGCACAGGTAAGCCCCTAAGACAGGAAGTGCACTCAAGGGTCCAAGTCCCACGTGCTAAATATACACATAGGTGCACACGAGTACACATAAAGGCAAGAAGCAACAATGGGAAAGGCACTAGTCAGAGTCCGAATCCCCCATACCTTGGTCTGCAGATAAAATACCCTGCACCACTCACAGGGATCCAGACCCAGACTTGTGGAGCAGTGGGGAAGGAATTCTAGGGTGAGTCAGAAATCCCCCAGGTGAAATGGCTCTTCCTCCATTACCTCCCAAGTCACACAAGCAGGCACAGAGACAAGTGCTGAAAAGGACTGAACCTGAGCATTCAGAGACGGAGGATGCGGGTCAAAGCGGCCATGGAAGAGGAAAGTCTCAGAGCTCTAAGCGCTGAGCCCAGATACAGGGGCCTAGAAACTATGGGGGCGCAGAGGAGGGGGAAGAACTCTGCCGACCACGACTGCGGAGCTCGGAAAGGGATGGAAACTCAAGGAGGAGAGAGCTTGTGTCTTTGAAACGGGGTGGTGAGGACCTGGAGGGGCGGGGGGGGGGGGGGGGGGGGGAATGAGGCAAGGATGGAGCAGGGAGCAAGGCCAGGGTCGGGGAAGGAAGGACCAAACACGGCAGACGCCAGGGCTGGGGTGGAAAGGGCCAAGCGGGACCGAGAAGGGAGTCGAAGTCGGGACGGGAAGGATGGAGGGATATAGGCGGCTGGATAGAAAGGACGCAAGGGGACCGGGGAGGGATGGGAAGGCCCGAGCGGAGCCAAGGCCGCGGGGCAGGAAGGAGAGCGGAGAGAGACGCCGGCCGTACCTCTCCGGAACTGGCCATGTCGAAGGCGGGCGGGGCCGCGGCCACCGGAGCCGCAGCCCCAGGGCCTCCCGCAGGCCCGCCAGGGATGCTCAAAGCCGGCGCGTCCGCGGCTCCACAGAGACCCCGGTGAGGGGCGGGGCCTCCAGCCACTTCCGGCGCCTACTCTACGCACTTCCTCTCGCCGGTCCGCGTATCCCGTGCGGCCGCCATGTTGGGTGCGGCGCTGGCGCCTGGAGCCCTGCTTGGGCGCGGGGTGAGCCCGAGAGGACCCGCTCAGCTCAGCCGCAGCTGGCCCTCTGACCTGGGTTCCCCCTCCCCTGCTCTCCGCATGATCCTTTCCAGCCACCCTGGCCTCTTCCTGCTCCCGCAGCATTCTCTTGCTTCCAGGCCATGGTATTTGCGTCCCGATGCCTGCAAGAACCACACATCGGAGAGCGGGGGACCCTGACCACCCTGCAGGAAACAGTATCACCTCCTCCCCGTCCTTACATATGCACACTTAAATGTGCCCCTTATCCTGTATTTATCTTTATAGCTCTTTGTATTATGTGACCTGTGTCTTTTTCTTTTATTTCTTTTTGTTGTTTGTTTTTTGTTCCCTTCCTGTACTCAGAGGCAGGATTCCCGGTACCTAGGATGCTCCCTGGCGCGTAGTAGACACTGAATAAATACTTGCTGGGTAAATGAACGTGTGGCTGATGTGTCCTCACCCTTCAGGCTTTGCGTGTAAAACTCAATTAACTAATAACAGTCCGCGGGGGAAAACTGGGGTCAGAACTGGTGCTGACTCCCGAGTGACCCGAAGTATGTATATTTCCTGTGGTTGCTGGAACAAGGGCCACAAAATGGGGGGGCGGAGGGGAGGTAAACCACAGAAATGTATTCTCTCACAGTTGTGGAGGCCAAAAGTAGGAAACAAATATGGTGACTGGGCCATGTTCCAATGGCTCTCAGGAAGAATCCCTTCTTGCTCTTCCCAGCTTTGGCTGGTGGCCAGGGATCCTTGGCTTGCAATTGTAGGGCTCCCAAGGTCTTCCTCTGTCTTTGAAGGGCCGCCTTGCTTTCTGTGCGTCTGTGTGCGCGCATTCACACATTTGTATCCTTTCTTACAGACACCTGTCATGTTGGATTCAGAATCTGTGTTAATCCAAGATGATCTTATCCTCACTAATGACATATGCAAAGAGCTTGTTTCCAGATAAGGTCACGTTCTGAGGTTCTGGGCGGAGGTGAATGTTTGGGGGACACCTATTCAACCTAGTACATCAGGTTTCGTACCCTTCTCTCCTCCCACCTCACTGGGTTGAGCCTGGTGCATCAAGAGGCCTTTGATGAGCTGCTCCTGTGGGTGGACCGTCCTGCGGGCGGGCTGGGTCCTTGCCTCAGAGTTCATGGTTTAGTCAACAGTTAAATACAACTTCAGGCATAACCAGAATGTTAACGGAGGTCCCATTGTTTACTGTTGGAGCCCAACTATGTCCTAGGCAGGTATCTGGAATTTCCCAGAGGCCCAAGGCTTCTCCTCCAGTCCCCCTGACTCCCGACCCATCCCTTCCTTTCCCCTACAATCTGTAATCAGGTATGTTTTCCATTGTCATGGAAGTGTTTATTTTCAGTCCCCTACCCAGAGGCCGCTGGCTTTTAGGCAAACAGCCTTGAGCAACGGAATGTAGAAAGAGCCCACATCAACTGCCTGACTGAATACGGACAGGCCCATCAGGTGACCCACCTCAAAATACCCAGAGGCCCTAATCTGACCAATGGGCTACTTACAACCAGGCACCATTACCAAAAAAGGGAAAATTCCATATATCCCCATACCTCCTCACCTTCCTCTCTCTAAAAACAGCCCCCACCCACTCCCTCAGTGCAGACAGCCTCCCCTCTGCCGTCCCGCCTGCCGCTCCCTGGTGGAGACTTCAATAAACCTCTGTCTCCTTTGTTATGCCTCAAGTGAATTCTTTCACCCCCTGCCTGCATCCCAGCCTTAGCTGAAGCCCGACTGCGTCCCCCATTTGGGGACCCACATCCAATCGGGAGAGACACCACAGCCCACTAGAACGGGGCTTGGCAATAACCGGCCCTCAATAACCCGCTGTCAGCTAGACGACTGATTCACAGAGATGATGCGTGTAAGTGCTGGACACAGAGGGGCAATTCCAACACTGTAACTACTACTGTTACGGGTCCTGGTGAGGAGTGAGTCCCACATTTCCCGGGTGTCCCAATTCTGAGGAGCATTCAGTTGGAAACCTCAGAGTGTGGGCTCCAGGGAACCAAAGCTGGGGAGTCCTTTCCAACTCCTCGCTGCTCTCACCCCCCTCAGGTTTGGTTTCCAGGCCTGGGTGACACTTCCTCACAAGGGGTCTCAGGGGTTCCTGTTCTGAGAGCCACCACTCCAACCCCCCCCCACCGCAGTGTCTGGCCAGCCTGAGCCAGGTCTCAGCCCCTGGTCCCTGTGGGTTCACCAGAAACCCCACGAAGAGGCTGGAAATGACGTAGGTGAAGGTGGTGATCTCTGATACCTCCCACTGAAAGGAGTCCGAAGGAAAGTTCTTTCCTAATATAAATGGCAATGGCCACCATTCCCACACCGATGCTTATTACTCACACGTTCCTGTGAGATCCCTTTGGAAATGGTTGAAAATGTCACGGAAGCCTGGCTGGGCAGACCCCATTATTCCCCCATCTTGCAGAAGAGGACGCAGGTCCCTGTGAATAGTGAAACTGGGATTGGTGCCCACGTGGTCTCTGCTCCGAGGCTTGGAGAGGCAGAGGCGGCCCTCCAGTTCTGCCTCCCTACAGGGGCTGAAGTCCTCACCCTGAGGGTCTCATCCCACCAGAAGAGTTTGTGAAGGAGCCGTACCTTCCCTAAGCTCCTCTCGCTACAGCCAGAATGACCTTTTCTTTAAAGATTTTTTTTATTTTAATTTTTTTCTCTGGGTAGGGTGGGAGAGGGGCAGAGAGAGAGGGAGAGAGAGAATCTAGCAAGCTCCTCACTGATAGCACAGAGCCCGACCCAGGGCTCAAGCCCATGACCCCGGGATCATGAGCTGAGCCAAAATCAAGAGTGGAACACTCAAGGGACACCTGTCTGGCTCAGCCAGTAGAGTACACAACTCTTTTTTTTTTCATTTAAAAAATTTTTTAGGGGTGCCTGGGTGGCTCAGCTGGTTAAACGTCTGACTTCGGCTCAGGTCATGATCTCACAGTTCATGGGTTCAAATCCCACATCGGGCCCTGTGCCGACTGCCAGCTCAGAGCCTGGAGTCTGTTTCAGATTCTGTATCTCCCTCTCTCTCTGACCCTCCCCTGCTCACACTGTCTCTCTCTCTCAGAAATAAATAAACCATTAAAATTTTTTTAAATAAATAAATAAATAAAATTTTTTTTAATGTTTTGTTTATTTTTTGAGAGAGAGATAGAGACAGAGTGAGCAGGGGAGGGTCAGAGAGAGAGGGAGACACAGAATCCGAAACAGGCTCCAGGCTCTGAGCTAGCCATCAGCACAGAGCCTGACGCGGGGCCCAAACCCACGAACCATGAGATCATGACCTGAGCAGATGTTGGACACTTAACCAACTGAGCCACCCAGGCGCCCCAACATACAACTCTTAATCTCTGGGTCATGAGTTCAAGCCCCAAGTTGGGTGAAAGAAAATCAGACACTCAACAGACTGAGCCACCCAGGTGTCTCCAGAATGACTTTTCAAACTGTGCATCTAGAGCCCCCGCTTTGGATCCTCTGTCCCCCTCTCTCTCTGCCCCTCCCCTGCTCTCATGTGTGCACTCTCTCTCAAAAATAAGTAAACATTTGGGGCGCATGGGTGGCTTAGTTAAGCGTCTGACTTCGGGTCAGGTTATGATCTCAAGGTTATGATCTCAAGGTTTGTGAGTTCAAGCCCCACTTCGGGCTCTGTACTGACAGCTCGGAGCCTGGAACCTGCTTCGGATTCTGTGCCTCCCGCTCTCTCTCTCTGCCCCTCCCCCCCCACCCATATTCTCTCTCCCTCTCTCTTTCTGTCTCTCAAAAATAAATAAACAACAAAATAAATAAATAACAGTTTAAAAAAAATAAGTGATCTGCAAAGCCATGAAAAGACATGGAGGAAACATAAATGCATGTTACTAAGTGAAAGAAGCCAATCTGATAAGGCTGCATGTAGTATAATTCCAACGATAATGGTGTTTCAGAAAAGGCAAAAACTCTGGAGACACTAAAGAAATTAGCCCGGGTGGCTCAGTTGGCTAAAGTGTCTGACTCTTGATTTCAGCTCAGGTCAGGATCACGGTTAGTGGGAGCGAGCCCTGTCAGGTTCTGTGCTGACAGTGAGGAACCTGCTTGGGATTCTCTCTTTCTCCATCTCTGCCCTTCCCCCCTTTCAAAAATAGGTGAATAAACTTAAAAAAAAAAAAAAAAAAGAATCAGTGGTTTCCAAGGGTCAGGGAAGGGGAGAGATGAACCCTGGAACAGAGAAGATTTTAGGCAGTGAAACTTCTCTGTATGATATGATAATGGAAGCATGTCTGGGGCACCTGGGTGGCTCAATCAATTAAGCGTCCAACTTCAGTTCAGGTCATAATCTTGCAATTTGTGGGTTCAAGCCCCTTGTCAGGCTCTGTGCTGACAGCTCAGAGCCTGGAGCCTGCTTCGAATTCTGTGACTCCCTCTCTCTCTGTCCCTCCCCTGCTCACACTCTGTCTCTCAAAAGTAAATAAATGTTAAAAAATAATTAAAAAAAATAATAATGGAAGCACGTCCAAACCGATACAGCGTAAGTACCAAGAGTGAACCGGGATGTAAACTATGGATTCTAGGTGAAAATGATGTGTCAGTGTAGGTTCACCAGCGGTAACAAATGCACTTCACTGGTGGGGGATGTTGGGGGGGGAGCATGGGATGTGGGAAACCTCTGTACTTTCCTCTCCACTTTGCTGTGAACCCAAAACTGCTCTAAAAATTAAAGGCTACTGATATTTTTTTCATTTTTTAAATAACTTAAGCAATTAATGCTTATTTATTTATTAATTAATTTGTAATGCTTATTTATTTTTGAGAGAGAGAGCGTGAGCAGGGGAGGGGCTGAGAGAGAGGGGGACAGA